GGGGGGGGGGAGAAATAAATCAGCCTAATGAATAAGTCTAGTACAGAAAATTTAGCCTTGAATAGATTTTCAAAATTCAAAGTTTGGAAACTCAAACACTCTCATATTTAGTAGTGGTAAAGCACCTTAATTACACATGACATTACCAACCTTAATAGAAAGCTGACAAAAAAAACATGTACATAAACAATAAGAGATACATACTTTGCTTATAAAATGCATATATTTTATTCAAACATACTGTAGTTTTGGGTTTTATCTGTTGGAAAAATGGTACATGATAATTTAATCTGATTCATTATGAACTCTGTTGATATTTTACAGGAAGCGTAATATCTTCCCTTCCATATACAAAGGAAAAAAAAAATGACCCTAATGTCATTTAATTAAGTGCTGGAATTAGCATAGAATTACCAATCAGGACTCCTACTCCCATCAAGTCACTTAAGAGACAGAAAAGGTGTTAAGACACCTGATTCTGGATTTGGAAATCTTTGAGCTATATATTCATAAATCCTGCCCTGTTACCCTTCACTCTGTACAATAAGAGCAAATTCCCTGAAGGGAAATGATTTAGACTAGACAACAGGAATTATTTTAATTATATATATATATGAGAGATATAATTAGCCTGCAATATACCAAGAAAAGTTAAAGCTTCTTGAGTTGCAGGCACTGCAGACTGAAATTTATTAAAACCTCTGCATTTCAGTAGACAGTGTGCAAGATCAATGACATAAGTGTTTACTATAAATACCATTAATAACTGCATTACTATGCATGTTATCAGCCCCAAATTCACACACATGAACATGTCTTATATTCAAAGACCATTCAACATCAGGAATCTCATTTACAGTCTCCCTCGAAATGAATATGCGCTTGTGGAAATGCCAGTGCATGGAATCCTACCACAGAGAACAGAACTGTATGCAGTGAAGACAGAAATGCTCCTCTCAGAAGAGCATTTCACAACCTTCTGTTGTGCTAACCTCATACTCCTTACTGCAGTGAAAGCTCTGAATGCACAAACTGCACATGGACTTTAGTGAATGCTCGGGAGAAAATGTTGCCCAGAGAGGCAGGATCTTAATGCTTGTGGCAACATGATCAATCTTTTAATTTGCTACAGCCAGAACGGAAACTGAGTCCAAGCAAAAGGTCAGAACAAGCATTTTATATTCTCTGTTAAAGGAGGGGAGGAAAAAAATGTCTTTGAGGAGTAAAGTAAGTAGCTAATGAGACACAGCACTGACAGCTGGAATTTAATAAGTATCCACTTCACAAGCAAAATTGCTCTTAGTAATTAAATACAGGTATCATACAAAGCTTCTGCTTAGAGCTAGACTTCAAAATCTTCCTGTCAGTAGGACTGGAGAGGTTTTACATACCAGGTAACACAAGGGTGAATTTGCCTGGGAGGCTAGTCCTAAATGAAGAGGGTTAATTGCATAAAATTCACAGTCATGTCAGTGGTAAATAATTCCAAAGGGACTTGTTCAGATAGTAGTCTGGCATTACTGAAAAACAGACTGCAAGTAAAAAGACCTGTTATAAAGTCCACCAAAACCTGAGACACATAAAAAGTTTAATAGTCATTGCAGGACTAAAACGCAAACAAGATCTTTTTAGAGGGATCCAAAATTCTTTATGCTCCAGGTCTGTAGAGCCATAAAACTCTACCTGAGAAAATTTTAAACAATCTTCTAATTAATCACAGGATTTTATAGCCTCTCACAAGCTGTAAGTAAAACATTAACAAGGTAGGAGGAAGTACTCTTTGTACTAAGCATGATTCCTAATCCTGCTGACACATCCCACTAGCTGAACCAGGCTAGAATTTAACATCAAACTGAGATTATAAGGGATAATAGCACACAGAGATGGTATTTCATTTATGGGACTGCATTCCCATAAATGAAGGTATAAGTTTCTAAATTACTGGGAGCATCTGAGAGAGCAGAGTCTAATCAATCACTTTGTATAATTTGTGACACCACCATCAAAATATGACTACAAAACATATTTGTAACATAATAAAACTTTTATCCCTAAGGAGACATCTTGATCCTCACTTCATTAGCAGTCAAAGAGAACACTGTTGGTATCACAAAAAGAAAGCAGTTTAAGTATCTGAATGCTTGAGTGTTTTTACCAGCAACAGCCAATATATTTGCATTTACTCAGGTATGTATTAACACAATCACACAGCTCTACTTATTTTAGTGTAAAAGAACACTGACTCTGCAATACATGTTTTAACCTACCTCAGAGTACGTAGATACATTCTTCGCCTTTTTTCCCTTTTGATTCCCAGATTCTCTGATCTGCAAGGAAATAAAGCATTCTATTGTGAGAAGATTTTAAATTTACACAAGCTCTTTTACCCGTTATTCCCTTTTGCGAACACTACACACTCCAAAAGAGTGAGGAATCATCTTATGGTACCCTTGTAACTTACAGAGGAAGCTTTTGTGATCAGCACCTTGAAGAAAAGTCTGTAAGAAACCCTCACTATTTACAGGGAGCAGACCAGCTTACACAGTAAACTTTTCTTTTTCCATTTTTAACTTCTATGAATTAGTGTAACTTTTAAAACTTCCACAGAGTAATTCAACTGAGTATGACATCTATAGTTACCATAGGCCAAAGAAGTTAGTATCTAAAAGATATAAGATTTGGTTTGTTACTAAAAGTTCCTTTCTTGGAATACCTGTCTGAAAATGTCTTCACGCTTTACCACGCTGAAGAGCTTCCGCTGTGGCACCTGCACGGCAAGAGACAGGGCCTTGGTGTGGATTTCATCCTCAATTTTGGTCCCAATAACAAAAGCGATGCTAGGCTTCCAGTCATCCTATTTTCCAAAATAAGACATTTAAGGTATTAATACTCAAGCAAACAAAAGTGCTTCTCTGCAGTTTCAAGGAGTAATCCTGTAGAGATGATTACTCCCTTTAAGACATATTAAACATCACTGTATTAATCGCACTGAAATAAACCGTATACAACCCGAAGCACATGCTACCTCGTCCCAATTCTTTCTGCCATCAGGTGGCAGCATCATGCTATGGAAAACACAAACGCCTACCAACAACCCCTTTAAACCTCCTCGCAGTCAAACGCTGCATTAGCAGCGCACAAAGTAACTTTTAAATGTCATTTGCAGATTTGACAGCAATATATGCAAACAAGAAGTGAATTTTGAATGTATGTATTATTGTCATTGAATACATGTAGTATTGTGATAATTTGCTGTAGGAAAAAAACAACCGAATTTCAGCTCCCTCATCCCAAGAATTAGATAATGGTCAGATTCCATTTTCTGAAAATTCTTGCATTATTTGTATATATTTTTATATTTTATGAGAGTATATTTATGCATACCATGGTTCTTACACAGTTTCACTAAGTATTCTGAACTAAGAAAAAACATTTATCAATGGCAAGTTACATTTCACTACAAACTGACAAATGAAAAACACTAGCGGTTTTCAAACATTTGCAGTAAAATACACATATTTTTATGAAAAAATGTCTGATTTCAGCATTAAAGAAATGTAGAACAAGAGAAGCCTGGAACACATTATTTAGTGATATACATCCATAAAAGTTTCAAAATTATGTAATTTATGCAACTTTTACTGGTTACACTTCCTTCCCATCTCTTTGGATTTAACCTACTGGAATCCCTTTCACAAAGTGAGTGGCTCTCCAGCACATCTGCATCTCACTCCAGAGTATTCTCTATCAGCATCAGTGGCATCTGAACCATAACCACTGCCAATGGTTGTGCTGTACACTCTTTAGGATAACCACCAAATTTATTTTTTTTTTTCATTGCACACCTGCATGTGTAAAATGCAAGGACATCAATAAAACTGTATAGAAGTAAAAAAGGAAAGAGCTTCTGAGACACTGTCATGCTGATCAGGACCAGGCTAAGCAGTGTCACATAGCAGTCCAGTGTGCATCACAGCAAGGAAAGATTTTAAGGACAAATTTAAGAGAGGGTGGTAACTTTAGGATTTTGGTGAAAATATTTTCATATGTGTATATTATATATAATTATATATACACATATAATTTATATATATATATATATATATATATATATTATATATAAAGTCCTTGTGGAAGAGGAACAAAAACAGTGAGGGACAGGACTGCTCCAAAAAAAAAGTTAGATATAAATGGTAAAAGAAGCAGCTTCTTTTTCCATTATACTGTACCCTTCTTCATTTGTTTCTTCTCTTAGATGAAAAAAAGCCTATCTAAATATATGCAATTTGAGTAACTAATGACTTAGAATAGGAGAAAGCAACAGTTGACCTAAGTTTTAAACTAATAAATGCTTGCAGGGAGGGAAACAATTTGTCATACTATTACGGTAACAAAGCATAACCTCACATGAATACAGCATGACATGATTATACATACATGCCTAATTTTTTTAACCACAGAATATTCATGAAACAAAAAAGATGGAAGATCACCTAGGTCACTAAGCGTAGTCTTCTGAAACTGCAAGTAGCTACAGAACAGACACCTAATCCAAAAGAGTCTCTACAGTTCCACATACCATAAACTTCCTTGATGTTTTATAGCAGCACAAAAGAAACCTTAAGTTTTTTAAATTACAAAATGCAGGAGAGTGTAAGCATGTCACTGATGCTCTAGGAGTATGCAAACACGATGGAATTTATGAAAGGAGTGTCCAGCCGACCTGCGGCAGCAGGCACTGCTCAATGGAGAAGCAGCAGCAGCAGTGGTCTGTGTGGAGACTGCCTCAAGTACATTGAATTTATTTTTCCCCTTTCTAGTTGGGGGGAAGACAGGGGACAATACTTTCTCCTGCCTAAAGTTGTCAAGGTATCTACCAGTGCCCAGCAATATGAAAGAGCTAGGTATTCCAATACTGTCGCCAAAATACGTGCACAGGAGTTGCAGTTAATCTGAGTTCGTTAAAGTTATCACCATTCTTTGAACAGAGAGCATTTAGATGTCCATACCTGTATGCAAATGCATCATTTTCTAGGCTTTCAGAATTGAGATCGAAACGCCTTCATGTGACAGTATTGTGGGTGTCTCCAGGGCTCACCAGCAGAGATGGAGCCTTTAGAACACATACAACATGAGCTAACGGAGCAATTTATATCACTACTCTGTCCGCTTCAGTGAGAAGCACCAAAAGAGGAACGAGGCCTAGGAAGTCCGACAGACAGATGCTGACACCACCAGAGCAGCAGGACTCAGGAATGTCAGGTTCTACTGCAGATGCTAGGGGAAGCATAGTCCAGCAGCACAATAGAGCCTGCTCCCACAACTTCCTGCAGTTCTTCAGATACACAAAGAAATCTCCATCAGAGTATCCTAAAACTTCTGCCTACTCCTTCTTCAGCTCCTCCTTAAAACATGCCAGTATCTTGGTACCCACAAATTAAACCTGCTTAGTGCTGATTAACCTCATCCTTCAATGATGTCTGTGAAACCTGCCTTCCATATAGTCCTGTTTCTTCTTGTCACAACTGTCCCTAACTCATTTCTCCTTCCATTTTCACTCTGTTCTTCATCTGAGTTTCACCACTTCTAATGCTTCTCACATCTGTTACTTGCTCCCCTAGCTCTTGTCCTCAGTCTCCTTGTCCAGCTAGTCCCTAGTTTCATTATCTGATCCCATTCCAGTCTTCTCCATCCTCAGACTCCTTCTCCAAACTCTTAACTCTCTCATCCCTTCAATACCTTCCAGGCACTTTCAGAGTTATGTTTGAGCAATAAGACTCTCCTTCATGATACTTATGCATTCCTTGGAAAGACACTAGAAGCAACAAAGAATTTTCCTGATTTCCACTGTGGTGCCCACCTTCACAGCAGCCTGTAACAAAGTACCAAAGTAAAAAAATTCGATTTATCCAAACACAAACATTCTCAGAAAAATGTATGCCCTTGACATCAGTGTGCCACATCCCTCCCCTTTCCTAAATTCTCTGCTTCAAAGAAACAAGCTGCTAAAGCTTTTTCACAATAGCTATGAGAATATTTATAGCACAGGCAAAACACAGGCTAATATATCAAAAACAGAATACATGGAATGAGCCTCTACAAGATAACTGGTATAGAAAATTATAGCCCAACCTAACTTAATTCTACAGAAGTATATGCAACTAGATACAAGGTGTTTTGCGTAAAAATTCAAACAGTATTAAAGATAGCCCATATCTCCCTAGCTGCAAAATGAAGAAAAATGTATACCTTTTCTAAAAAAGATGCAATACCTGGGAACTGGAGCTAGATAAATAACAGAAAGAGCCACATGCACTTCAACAGGGAATAATGATCCAGAACTCCCAGGGTCATTAATAGCATGTCATCCATTTCTAGATTGACCAGTTTTGAAGCCCTGGAAGATCATTTTTCAGAAAAGCTGAACATTGAGAACAGCAACTGAAGTAATAAGGACAGTGAATGTGCAGTGTTAGTATATAGTTTAAGGTGTTTAATTGACTATGCTGTTTTCTGACCTTAAAAAAATCTATTATTTTTGTAATATTGCCCTTATATTATCAATATTGTAACACTATCCTTAATGTTCAAGGCACTGAAAGGATAGAGAAGAAACAGACCCTACTTCTACAGCTCACCACCTAAAATCACAACATAAAAATGAGAAGGAAAAGCAGTAAAATGTATATGGTTACTTTAAAAATATTTTCTCCCTCAATATACAACTGCTCCTCTACTTAGTTTAATTCTTTCAAATGTTATTGTAGAAGTGAGACCTGAGAAAGGATCTGAAAGAGGATAGATTAGTGACCCTAAGGCTACCTCAAATGAGGTTCCCAGCTTAAAGAACAGGATAGAGAAAACCATAAAAATAACTACTGGAAAAGCATGGAAACAGTTTAGGGAAGCTGTCATTGAGAGTATAACACAAGCGCTACATACTGTGAACAAAGACCAAAATGCAGGGAGCAGACAGCCCACAGGATCAACAATGCTGATTCAAACATAAATGAAAAAAAAACAACCTGAAGCTGGAAATGTAGCATTGGTAACTGAATGAATACTCCTTAAACAATCTGAAACAAGTACCAATTAAGTGGACACCAGACCGCTCTCACTGGAAAACATCGAGTGACAATCGTCACAAATGACACTCTCCCCGGTTTTAACACTCTTGCCCATGAGAAAAGCTGAAATGCACCAGTCTCTCTTAGAAATAACCATCTATGTGGGAAGCTTGTATGTCCCATGGGTGAAGAGGCGCCAGTCCATCCACCTAACTCTGAAAGCTCCCTGTAAGCAGCTAGCAGTTTTCCAAAATCCTTGTTTTCACAAAACACAGAAGGTATCTCATCTTCTGATTTTGTTCTCAAGACTCCATTGCATCCCTCTGTAATGTGATTTTTCCAACCATTAAAAACCAGTACATGCAGACTATATATTTTATTTGTCACAGTAGTATTGGAATAACATAGGTATATTTAAAAAATATCTAACTTCAATTCACATTGAAGAAAAAGCAGATGTAGCTCACAAAATTTTGTTTCCTTTTTAAACACACCTCATTTTTTCTGATTCATTTCCTAGATGCAAAAGGGGAGCTATTTTAGAGAATACATTTGAACAAGTCAGGTATATTGTTTGTGGGGTTTTTTTTCAGTACCAGTTTCTAGATCTCCTTGGCCAGGAAAAGCACCAAGCAGGCATCTCACACACACACCCCGCCCCATTTCCAGGCAATCTCAGTAACTGTCATTTTGCATCATCACTTATTCTTGTGGTATTTAATGGTTGGGGGTTTTTTTGTGGGGTTTTTTTTTTGTTTTGTTTTTTGTTTTTTTGTTTTTTTTTGTTTAATCTCCTGATTAAATTTAAGTAATGCCTCAGAAATAATGAGATTTATTAGTGATTTATGAACACTTAGAGTGGTATTACCTCTAGCACTCTTTGCTTTTAACGATGAGGAAGCTTGTAAATCAGTAAATACAGCTGCATTACTGGGAAAGGTTGGTTGCTCATCAGCAATTTTGTAGCCCTGACATAGTGACTGTGTAGGGCATCACTGCTAAGAAATCTGCAAGTCCACTTTCATTATCTGCTGATTAACATACACCCATATTACTAATGGATTCTGATTTTAAGAGCCTGAGCTTTTGCTGTATAATATGAGCAGATTAGAGTATCAAAGCTCGACTGAATGTTAATTCCTCTCCGAGGAAGAAGAAATGTGAATAGTAATCAAGACTGGAGCCATCCTATTCAGAACAATTTAAGTGTCGTAAGGTTTAATTTCAGTTCAACTTTCAGGCCCTGAAATTCCAGTAAAATGAGAGAAACCATAAAGACGGGAAGTCGGAGCAGAACAGGGCTTCCAGTTGCTATGCTTAGTTATACTATCTAATAAGAACATGTAATAGATAACAGTTATTTCAATTAAGGGCTTCATTTGCCCAGAATTCACCTTCCACTTCGCAAATAGTGCCCTTTAACTACTTAAAGCATGCAAAGTTTAAAACCAAGAATCTTAATTTATATTCTGCAATTTAATTCTGTGGTGAACCCAATGAAAATATCTTCATAAAACATCTGAAGGCAAATACAACTTGCAGCTCCATGTTCTTCTGTATAGCACATCAGAAACAAAAACGATGTATATAAACTATAATGTGGAGCTCTGCAAAATCCATATTTCCTCTGTACATGTTTTTAAGTTGTCTGTTTGCCAGTTTTCACAGTGTGTTTAGTAAAAGCAATTATTTAGTTAGTAAATACCATTTAAATCATATTTCAGTTAGCATACCCATCCATAAAATCTTAACACCACTGGAAAAATGACTCCTTTTCATAGATCAGACTAATAAAATATTATAAGTCATAAACACACATTAAAATGTGAAATTTCATTGCTCAGTCTATCTGGTACAATTTAAAACCAGTTCTAGTAAATTCCCTTTGACTCCACTAAAGGGAAAGAATATTCTCTAAATTGATAAAAGTGAAAAATTTTAAAATTCTTTATATATGGATTACAAGGAGGGAAATTTATTTAATTGATAGGAGTTCCTGTCATATCCCAAATAATTTCAGATTGATGTGGTATATCACATACAATATTGAGGAGTAAGAAATAATTTTGTGCAGTGTGTGGTGACACCTACAATTAAACTTGCTCAAGATTCTTTTTTACAAGCTGCTTTCAGTTCCTGACCTTTATATATTTGACTCTAAATCTTGTACGTTACAAGATTACTGGGGAGGTGGTGGGGGCAGTGTGGTTAAACTACCTGCAGAATGAGATTTAATTTTTAAAAATCATGTTTATCCTTTAATAAAAAACCCTATGTGATTAAGTAATTAAGATATTAAATCCCCTCTGTGTTCAAGAGGAAGGAACTAAATTTGGCAGCACAGACATACTTGAGTCAAAGATGTGCTTTTACAGAGCACATTTATTTACATTAAGTGTACCCACATTTGGCCAGACTTGATGAATCTTGATTCACACATGCTCAAAGAGATTTGCTGGCATTTGACAGTTTTGCACCGAGTATGCTCCTGCCCATGATTATAAGAACTGAATAAGAATCTTCCTGCAATATGAAATTTCAGCAGCTGCCCAGCATCACAGAAGCCTGAGTTCAAGCTGATCACAGCAGCGAGACAGTTTTTCCCATGTTCCTAAGGCTGTCTGCTAACAGCGAGACACAGAAAGTAGAATTAGTTTAACAGGAACAGAAAACAGTTGGACAATACCAGAATGAAGGAACCAAGGAATCTTAATTCAGCCCCCGTGAGTATAGGCATTATGTTAATCTTTAATTAGATGATCACATATTTTTTTTCCCACAGAATTCTTGCCCCATTCAGTGAACATATTCAACATTTCCTTCCATCTGCCTCAATGTGTGGTCCTGAACAATCCGAATTCTGGCATTTCCTAAAATTTGAGCACTTTATTTCCTACCTTTTAAAATACTTCAATATAATGGTTTGCATTTAACAAATGTAATAAATTACATGTGGAAGCAGCAGAGTAAACAAAGCACTTCGTTCAGTGAATTCACTGGACAATATCCACAACCACAATAAACTCCACCATAAAAAAATAAATAAATCACTAATTGGCACCTTGCTAGCAAGCACAGGAGAAAGGTCAGGAACTGAGTATGTGATGGAGATTGAACCTCCACCCCCTTCTCATGCTTCAGGAAGGTTCTCCTAGAGTCAGGGTGAAATTCGCAAGTAAGAAAGGGCTCAAGTGCCTTTGAACTCTACTAAGAATCTATGTTCCAGGGAAAAATGGGAAACAGCAGCCTTAGCTGAGCAGCTTACTTCAAAAAGTGATTTTGTTTGGCTAAACTTGTACTATATGGTTACTACCAAATACAAGTAAAAGCAAGTATTTAAGAGATTTTTTGGACATCTGTGGTATTTTCAGGAAAACTGTTTAGCTAGTTTCAAAGCCTCCTCCTGAATTCAAGAGTCTTCATACTTAACCAGAACAGCTGGCATGTTATTAAAAACCAAACCCTCAGCAACAACAACAAAAAACACGTTCGTGTTTTTTAACGGGGCACAACAAGAACCCACCAAACAAGGAAGCCACGGAAGTAATTTGTCTCACTTGCAGAAACAGCGCTAGATAAACACACACTAGATAAATATTATTGTTTGCTAAACTACTACCCTATTTTGAAAGCAAATTCTCTCTTGCAAGTCAAGATTTATTAGAATTACATTGCTTACATAGAACCTGGAAACCTAAATATGCCTTTAGATCCTCACATGCTGTAGAAGAAAAAAAATTTAAAAGTGCCTTTTAGCTGCACACACTCAAGCAGGAAAATTACAGCCTCACATTTTCAACGCTACAGTTAATGCTGTGTCAGCACCTCCATCAAACCTCGTTGTTCAGCAGTTTATAAAAGTTCACTCCGAGCCGAAATTTGGCACCCAGAGCCCCAGAAAGAAAAGGGCCGAGCAGAAAAAGCAAAAAACCTGCTGGGCCCGCGGCTCAGTGGTGGTGGTGGAGGGGGGTGGGGGCAGCTCCACCGCCCCTCGAGACTATTCACAGCCCTCCGCGGGACGGCCCTGGGGAGCCCGCGGAGCCCCCGGCAGTGACACTGCGACAACCAGGCCAGAGGGGCGGTGAGGGCCGCTCCGGCATGGTGTCGCGTGTCGTTCCCCCGTACCCACCCCAACATTCAGGCGGCCCCGAGCAGCCCCTGCCCTGCCCCTCGGCTGCCTTCACCTCCTCAAGGGGGGCGGACACCAGCGCGGCCTCCCAGTTCTTAACCGCGGCCCCCGCCGAGGCGACCCCGCCGGTCTTGGGTCGCTTCGGGCCCATGGCGGTGCGGGATGGCGGGCAAGGCCCCACGCGTCGCCGTGGCAACCGGCTTCCCCGCGGGGTGACGCCTTCCG